TCCCACTATTGGAATTGATTTGATTAGCTAAAGGGTAGATAAAATCTCTGTTCTTATAATCGATGCAGAGATCCCTTGAGGAGGATGTTGCTGCCCACACCACTGGGGACTTCCGCAAGGTATATAAAATCTCTGTTCTTATAATTGAGTTTAATCTTAGTAAGCTTTGTTCTACCAACAAGAACCTTTTCAATTCTAAATTGTTATTTTTGTTCTTTCAAGGGCACAAATATATACAAGAAGTAGATAATTTTTGTAGCTTTACTGACTTGCATATTAAGGAATGGCTTAGAGCAGATTAGGATTCTTATATAATATTAATTTACATGTAGGCACAAAGCTTGAGTGGTTAGATTGTTCTACTTTTAAGTGTAACTTCTTTTAAATGTAATAGTTGTTAAGTCTTTTGCCTAAAACTGCTAGCGACTTTATTGATGCCTGCTTTATAAATGGATGGATGCTAAATAAATGAATGCCAAACAAATGAAGGGAACATACTCAATATCATGGATCAGAACTATTTCTTGAATATTATGATTGTGTTGATTTCCATAGGATCAATTGAACGGAGAAAAGGGACATAGCCATCAAAACTTAAAAAGGAGCAAAATCAGTACATATGTTGACTGGTGCAATATCGTTTTATACCCGTTAAGGCCTTCGGACATTTATGTTTATACCAATTATAAGCATGTTCATGCAGATGCCTCGCTAGCTAAAACTTTTGATCATTAGTCAAGCTTTTATCAGTTACCATCCTTATAAGGATTTATTTTTCCCCTATAGACTTGCAAGTTGCATGTAACTGAAACTTTTATTTGCTGTAGGTTGTTGCAAATTTCAGTGCATCATGGTGTGGCCCATGTAGACAGATCACTCCTCTCTATACTGAGCTCTCCGAGAAGTACCCTCAACTTGTTTTCCTAACAATTGATGTTGATGAGTTAGCTGTAAGTATTAAGTTGCTTCCATCATTAAGGTAAGATCTCTCTGTAAGTATTGGAATGTGTTTATGTTTCAGGGATTGCTGATGTGTGCTTGAAGGACTTGCAGGTTTTGTTCTCTTATATAATACTAATAGATCTTTTGCGTTAATGCTCAATATATTCAGACTACCTGTTATCTTAACTGATAGTCCCTTCTCTGGTTTTTTTTTTCAAGATCCCTCTGAGTGGGCCGTACTCAACTGGGGGGGGGGGGGTTGGCTGTTGTTCATGCTGATCGCGACGACCTTGGGAGAGGTATACTTTTGTTTCCTTGTTTTTTTGTTCTATTTTTATGTATAAATAGTTCAGCATAAGGTATATAAAGAGTTGAGATATTTTGTTTTTATTTATTTATGTATTACTATCAATGTGGAACTTGTATTAGATTATAAAATCAAGCAGAATGGTTCTTTCATGAACCATGTTTATGTACATTTCTATAAGCCTCTTGATTTAGTTATACATGTTAAACTAATCTAATGGTTTATATATTGTGTTTAGTAAGTAGAATTCACTGGTCTCATCAACCATATTTTCTACTACAACTGAATCTTCAAAACCTTTGACAGTCTTCAAACCCCTTCATTTTCACTGACTAGCTCCTTTTACCGACTGTTGAACCAAATGATATTCATGTGGCTGGTTGGCTAGGCTTTCACAGAAATGAAGAAAGCCAAAGTAATGAGATTTATGAGAGAGAAAAGTTAGACTAATATCTAACAACTTATACTTTCTGGTTAATTTGGTTATCAATCTATATTTAAGTTGCATTCAAATCTCAGAGGGGTTCAATTACTCCCCATGATAAAATTTGATCACGATTCTAAATTAATTATTCTTGTTATTAACTCAAGACACTTTGAAATCACCTCCAGTAGAGAACAAGGTAATGAAGAAGGCTAGCTTTATTGGAGTATCAACAACCACCACATTTTATTTCCTTTGTGGTTATCTCGGTTATGCTGCATTTGGAAACAAAGCACCAGGAAATATTTTGACTGGTTTTGGATTCTATGAACCCTTTTGGTTGATCTACCTTGCCAACATCTGCATCATTATCCATTTGGTTGGTGCATTTCAGGTAATTCTCATGTTTAATCTGTCATATTGAACAATTTGAGGTCTTACAATATGTTCATGACTATAGCCTACCAATCTATTCAACACTGAAACCACCAGAGTGGCAGATTGCATTTGGACCTGTCTTCAAGTGTAATAGCACAGTTTGGAGAGCGTTGATGATGGTGAATCCTGCAAAAGAGAAGAATCAGTGGATGGTTGAGATTGATAAGTTTACTGTGGAGGTTCCTAGAGTTGCTGTAATTTGAAACATCTGATACTGGTTATTGTTTGGAGTTATGTAATTTGTTTAAAATATTAGTTATGTTAGTTTTAACAATGTTGTGGGAACAAAGCAGGCATTATATTCCCTAGTGAGATTTTTAGATGCAAGGGAGAAATTAGGTAGGTTAATGAGCATTTGGTCAGAGAGAGGTTGTAGCAGAATCAACGGTGGCTGCATTGTAATACCTGTGGTCTTGTATTTGATTTATTCTCAACAGAGATATTGAGTAATCATTGCATATGTATTTGTTTTGTCT